GTCGGTTATAAGTAGGGTTATAATTGGGGTAACTCCATCTAGGGTACTTACAACTCTACTTAAACCTACTTCCTAAGTCCCCTAGACCCGAAACCCTAAACCCTAAACCCTAAATCTACTTCCTAAGTCCCCTGACCCTCCAAGTAGAGCTCAGGAAGAACTGTCGCGTGCCTTCTGTGCCAGCAGTACGAGGAGAGCCACTATGCGAAAGGCTGTTGAAGTATGGGTTCAGGGGTTTGAGGTTTAGGGTTTAGTAGGGTTTAGGGTTTAGGTCTGCGGCGAAAGAAAACCCTTTCTAGTAGCCCTCATAGACCCCTTCAAAAAAGGAACCCTTTCAAGTCAAACCCTATTTTAATCATTACCCTTACAGTCGCCTAAACCCTAAAACACTCAACCCTCAACCCAAAACCCTAAACCCTCAACCCTAAACCCTCAAGCCTGAACCGTAAACCCTCAACAACAACCTCTTAAGCCCTAAACCCTAAACCCTAAACCCTGAACCCTTAAGCCCTAAACCCCAGGCCCTTATGTTATCCCTCGTAAGTCCGGGAGCTGCAGCTGCAGGTGCCCAGTCGTCGCTGTAAGCCTTGTGCCATGTCCGCCTTGGTGTTGTTTAGGGGTTCGGGGTTTAGGGTTTAGGGGTTTGGGGCTTTACGTGTTTAATCCTAAACCCTAAACCCTAAACCCTAAACCCTAAACCCCTAAACCCCTAAACCCTAAACCCTAAACCCTAAGTTTAGGGACTTTCGGGGTTCAGGGGTTTGGGGGTTTTAGGGGTTTAGGGTTTAGGGGCTTGGGCCTTGAGGGGTTCGGGGGTTTGGGGTTCCGGGATTTAGGGGCTTTAGGGGTTTAGGGTTTAGGGGTCGAGGGTTTAGAGTTTAGGGGTTTAGAGGTTTAGGGTTTAAAGGTTTGGGGTTTGGGGCTTGAGGGGTTTAGGGGTTTAGGGATTTGGGGTTTAGGGGTTTAGGGTTGTGCACGGGCTGACCATGCAAAAGGTTCTAGCTGTGGTTGGTCTGAGAGTGTGCCGTTGCCATGATCTAAATCCCAAATCCCGAAGCCTCTTGAGTCTTGAGTCATGAATCCTAAACCCAACCCTAAACCGTAAACTCTGAATCCGAAGCCCGATCCCTGTGAGCCCTTAATGTCATGTTCTCCAGAGGAGCAGTGGCTCTCTACGTTCTTCATCGACCACATGCTTCTGGTCATTGTAGGCGATCCGGGCATGTTTTCCCGAGGTTTAGGCTTTAGGATTAGGGCCGAATAGGGGTTGTAAGGGTATGAGGGCTTTTGAAATGTATGGAGACCATATGGCTAGCCTAGTTTGTACTGAAATTCAATGTATGACATCGTGTCATTTTACTTTACGTCATGCAAAGTCGTACCAAGCACACCAGCGTCTTTTTCTCGCGCTGTATGACATCTCATGATATGATGTTGCATGATTCACAGTACGCTACCTGATGGGATTGTCCGTACTGTCGTATGCCCTGGCGTGATTGCGTACTGGGTAGCACTCGTGAATTTTCGAGAATCCTAAAGTCGAAACCCTAAACCGTAAGCCCTAATTACATGATGCCATGGCAGTTATGCCCAGGCTCTGGCGATCCAACTGCCTCAACTCTTCGAAACTCAGACACCCTGACAGAATCGCTACCCACACTGCTTTCGTAGCTTCTCTACGTAAGTTCGATGTACTCATAAACCGGGGCTGTCATGATAATCATCGAGCTTCATTTAGCTCAGTCAAGAATGAGCCTGTCGGGGCCAACGCCCCGCTGCTGTGCAAGGCTTACCCTACTGCTTCTTGCAACTGATGCTCGCTTTTGTGCACGTCAACATGCGGGAGGCCGGCATTGCTGCTTGGCCGAAGATCAGGTTTAGCCTCAAAGGACTCATATCTTAAGGCTTTCGGGCCCAAAGACCCTATTATATGAGGCCCTTGGGCTATTTTGATGCTAAGGGTTGTTCACTCGCAGAACCTTTGTCAGATCATTCAGGCCCATAATACACTCGAAGAGGGGTTCATCGCAAGCCAGCCACGGCCGTGGGCCGTCCTGTTTTGAAGCCGAACCCTCAGCATCAAAATAGCCCGAAATCCTCTTTTACTTGTAGGGTTCTTGGGCCCAAAAGCCTTGACATGTGCGCCCTTTGAGGCTAAGGGTAGCAGGTAAGGGAATGATTGATTGGCTTTACCTGTGGTTCACGCTGGTGTACGCGACATCGCCGACAAACTCTCACACCCTAAACCCTAAGCCCTAAAACCTTTACCCTACAGCCTAAACGGGCCTAAACCCTAAAACCCTAAACCCTAAATTTCCCTAAACCCTAAACCCGAAAAATCCTAAACCCTAAACCCTAAAACCCTAAAGCCCTAAACCCTGAAACCCTAAACCCTAAAATACTATAAACCCTAAATCAATCCTAAACCCAAAAATCCTAAACCCTGAAATCCTAAAACCCTAAACCCTGAGCCCCGGCCCGAGAATCCCCGAGACCCACGCGCCCAGGAGCGGAGAGATGTGAGCCTCCACAGACAGGACACCTTTTGTGGTTTAGGGTTTTAGAAGGGTTTCGGGCTTTAGGGTGTTAGGGTTTAGGGTTTAGGGTTTTAGACTTTTAGGGTTTGGGGTTTAGGATTTCAGGCTTCATAGTGTTTTCGGTTTAGGATTTTAGGGTTTAGGGTTTAGGATGTTAGGTTCATTGGAGGGTCCAAGGCTTGGGAGAGTAGGGTCAGGGCTTTAGGGTTGCGTTTTAAGGTCCTTGGGCTTTGGTTCACATGCACTGGCAAAGCAAGAAAAAGATGTAGACATGCCGGCGAGAGTTTATCTGAGAGCATCGCACCATTGGACAATGAAGTACACCACATTCTGCAAGCGATGATGCGTTTGTGCGCGGATTGCGCCATTGTAAGTCAAACGTATTCATCACCAGTGTTCAGGATCCAATCCGAATCACACAATCCGTTTCTGTTAAGCGTTGGAGCTCACTTCATGCAGCAAGATCGGTTTAGGGCCTTAAGGGTTTAGGGTTAAGGGTTTTAGGGTTTAGTGTTTAGGGTCCCTGAGTGGGCAAAGGTTCTGCCGATCTCACGCTGGCGCTGGGCTCAAGGCCGATTCAGCTCAACATCCCCGCCCTCGGAGCCCTCAAGCTGGCCCCAGCTGCTTGGATCTAGCTTGCAGGCTTTAGGGTCCAGGGTCTGCAACAATGGTCTCTTAATGTAGGGGCCTGAATAATTACCAATACTATTTTGGGGGTTCCTTGATATAATTGAAGTTGTAATGGACCCCCAAACCCCATTCTTATTAGTAAGGCCCCTATCTTAGGCCTGGACTGCGGGGCTCCAAGACTCCAGGCTAGAACTTTCCGAAGTTACCCGTGGGTGAGAGTTGATCATGGCTTTTGGAACGTAGACTGACGGATGCTCTTTGCTCGATCTCTTTGGGGCCATCGAACACATGTCCTGCTTTGGGCTCCCTCACTACTCCCGGTGCCCGCTTGTTGTGCTTCGCGCCGAAAGTGCTTCGACTTCGCAGACCCTAAACCCTAAACCCTAAACCCTAAGCCGAGCCCAAGAAAGCCCCAGGATGGTTCTCCTCGCATATTGCTCGGTTTGGCTTCTGGCCATCTCTCCGACCACTGCCGCGCCGTGCCCGAACGGCGTGTGCTCCGGAGGACTCGGCCTACTCCAGAAGGCCCGCGGCTGCATCAATGTAGTGGCAATGATACAATTACCTTTATTAGTTTGGGGCGTTCCTTCTTAGAATTCTAGTATAATGGGCCCCAAAACCCTATTCTTATTATTAAGACCCCTATATACGTCATGTTGCTCTCGCCTATCGCCATCAGAATGAAGGTACCGTACACAGACAAATAGCGACACCAGACGATTTTGCCAAGTTGTTTCTGGCCACTGGCCTGTGAAATTTGGCTGAAGTCCACCGGGTTCTCCCTCTGTCCAACATTCTTACTTCTCATCATATCCGTGCTAGTGTTGGTTGAGCATCCTTGATTGCTGACTCGTACCTGGAGGTCCCCGCACGACAACATGTGCTGATGACTGTGCCGAGTGACTACGACTGGTTCCCTGTGGATGGCGGAATCGCACGCGCCTGCCGTGGTGCCTCCCCGGGCGACAACGCTGCCAGCCACTACACCGTGCTCCATGGAAGCTAGGTCCCAACCTTCCAGTACTGAGTGGAGAGGCGGTGTTCCCGTTCTTTGGGTATTGATTGTTGAGGGCTCCTACAATGCCCTACAGAAGATCGGCCATGCAAGGCATGCTGTAGGATTCTGTGAACCGTAGTGTGCCATGAGTCGTCCAGTGATGCACCGTCACGGGTGACCATTTCGTAAAGAGGCGTGTTCTCTTTAAGCGGTATAGGGTTCATGCAAGAGGAGCATGGTTTGGGGAACACCGGGGCAATGTAGTTTATTGCACCGTATATACATGGCCAATGCACGTGCTTGTATCTCATGCATGTATAAGAAGCAAGCAAGATCAGCATTAAACAGAAACTCCTAGCACCGGTGCGCCACTCACAAGTTGCGTGCTTTGGGACTCACCTGGGCCTCAGGACTGACCTCACTTGAGGACTGCAAGGGAGCTTGTGCACAGAACGCAAGTTGCCGGGGCGTGGAGTACAGCCGCGGTCGATGCGAGGTGTGGACCAGGCCAGCAGGCATCCGAGGCATCGATTGGGAAGACGTTTTTGCCTTTTGGGCTCTGGGGTGGGTTTGTTCAGGGCTGATGTCTTTAGGACCTAAGTCCAGGATTGATGCGATGGGCCTGCTATGGTTTCAAGCCGAAGCGCTCTTGTTTTTTGTGGGTGTTGTGGGAACAAAGAAGTTGGATCTTGTCTGTTCAAGGTATCCAAGCCAGCATCTCCTTACAGAATTATTCTTGCTGGAGCTATGGGCCGTCCCACTTCCTTGCGGTCGATGGAGGCGTAAACCGCGCCTGCCGGGGCACCGGGGCAGAGGATGACTCGCCTGCCTACTTCATGCCGCAGCCAGGCTGAAATTGGTAAGGGCTTTGCATTTCTACTCGGGGTCGGATCAAGCAACAGGAACAGGACGCGCTTCGGCGTTACGCAGGATTCCCCGGCTGCTGTTATTTTTGGAGTGCTACTGCAGGTATTCCTATTGCCGGCGGCTAAATTCTGAGTTGACCATCTGAACAACGCCTGAGGCATCAGGGCGTGCAGACTGTGGACGCCTGCAAGTACCTTTGCTATGCAGAGCCTCAGTGCCAGGGCATCCAGTACATGGACGACGGAGGCGACTGCAAGGTGTGGATTCGACCGGCAGGCATTGAGGCCACGAGCGCCTCCCCCGGCTCCCTGTGCATCTTGGCTTTAACGAAGGGACACCAACGAGAGACTTTCAGCTCTTCTTAGATTTATGAGGTGCATGTGCTACGGGTATGAAACATGTACTGATGCATTCTCAGGTATAATACCAGCCCCCCTTCGGGGTCATGCAAAAGTGTGTGTGTGTGTGTGTGTCTCTCTCTCTCTCTCTGTACGCATGCAATGACTATTTTAATGTCTACGTTTGGTGGCTCGTGGAAACTCCAACCAAGGTCTTCGCCTGGAATTCGTCTCGGCAGACCCCTCCGCGGGCGATGCTGCATGCCGCGGCAGTCACGCTTCGGACAACAACCCTGCCAATTACTTTTTGGCGGGTGGCACATCGATCGAAGATTGCAAGCAGAGCTGTCGAGAAGAGCCGACCTGCAAAGGCATCGAATACAGCAGCGGACGTTGCGAAGTTTGGACGAAAGCTGAGGGAATTCAGGCAGTAAAGTCACTTGGTGGCTTCACTTGCTTGAGGTACTCTATCGCTGGCATGTCGAGTACCACAACACCTGTGATGACCACCACCACAACCACGACCGTGCCTACGACCAGCACTACCACCACCACATCAACAACAACCATGGCCACAACCACAACCACGACTCAGACGACCATGGCACCGACGACCCTCGCGCCGACAACCACAACCGAGGCCAAAAACTGTCGTGGGAAGTATGCGCAGTGTGGCGGCAAGAATTACAACGGCGAGAAGTGCTGTATCTACGGTTGGGACTGCATCTTCGTGAACGATTTCTACTCACAGTGCAAGCCGGGCCAGACACCAACTACAACTTTGGCGGTGGACTGTTCAGCTCCAGGCACGGAGCTTCGCGGTAAGTTCCAGCAGTGTGGGGGTCAGAGCTGGCAAGGCGCCAGGTGCTGTGAATCTGGACTATTCTGCAAGTTCGACAATGACTTCTACTCGGACTGCAGGCCAATCGAAGGCAGCACGGTCGCACCCAGCACCACATCTGGCCCAACCTCGGCCACCACAAGCACCGCTACAACCACCACCACTACTGCTGCAACCACTCCTACCGGAACCACCACTCTTGCAACAACTACGGCCGCGCCCACCTCGACAACCGCCCAGAGCACCACAGCTGCCTCGACCAGCAACTCGCCGTGCCAGAAGGGCTATGCTCAGTGTGGTGGAAGCAACTACCAGGGAAGCACTTGCTGCGAGGATGGTTTCGTTTGCAAGGCCTCAACTGACTCCTATTCGCAGTGCTTGCCAAACGTTACCACCACAGCCTACACGGGACCCAGCACTACCACCACACAGACGACCACCACTACACCGCCACCTACCACGACCACCACTGTCGGACCCACCACAACTGTTTCCACCACCACGGTCCAGTGCAAAAGGCGCTGGGACAAATGCGGAGGTATGAACTACGACGGGGCGACGTGCTGCGAACCCGGGTGGTGGTGTGTCTACGGTGGCCCATACTACTCTCAGTGCAAGACCACCACGACAACAACGCCGTATGCTCCTTCCCCAGCAGACCAGCGGGCAGATGCACAGTTCCTGATGCAGGGCTCCTTCGGGCCGACCCGTGCCAGTATGACGGAGATAGACGGCGTCGGCTACGATGAGTGGATCCACACTCAGATCGCCCTCCCTGCCAGCCTGCACCGCGCATTCTACCGACAGCGTGCCGCGCCACAGACTTCAGCTGACGGTGCACTGAAGAAGTGCTCTGTCGGGTCCAGGTGGCGCAGCACAGCCTTGTCCATAGCAGATGTGGGCAAGAACATCTCCGTGCAGGCCGGGCAGCTGTCGGTGGCTGGGCGCTTGAGGACTGAGCTGAGCACCTCTTCCACCTGGGCGACAATGAGCTACGAGGGTTACATTTGTGAGTTGGCCAACAACGTGATGCTGAGCCAGGAGGCCGATTGCGCCAACACGCAATCCCGGCAAATGCCCCTTCCGTGGAGCTCTGCCCCAACTGCTACAGGTGCAACTTTCGAGGTCCTGAGGCCCGGCACCTTGGTGTTGAAAGAGGCCCAGGCGAACTGTCAGCTGACAGATATTATCCAGTCAGATGTGGAGAATGCAGGCACTTTCTATGTGCACGAGCCGCGTTTGGTGCTCGTGGAGAACACTTTGGAAGCCCCGGCCTCCTCCGAGACATGGCTGGGTGGGCAGTGCCCTTCGGTGCCCCGAAGCTTCGTGAACGAAGCAAGCTGCAAGCTCTTACCTGGATGTGCACCTTTGGAGATGCGCGGTGTGCAGTTGGACCTGAATGTGAGCACTTTGGAGAAGTTCTTTCAGGTTAGCGGGCGATACGTCTATGCCGTGACGGATCTGTTGACCACAGAGCCTCCCTGTGGCGTGCAGCAGTCGAGGTGGAAACGCCTGGATTGCAGCGCGGTGACTTGCACCGCCACGCCACTGAGCAGCAGCGACGCGTCCCTGATGCGCGCGGCCTTGGCCGAGGAGGAGGGCTGGCTACGGGACGTCAACGTGGACTGTGCCAGCGTGCCTGCAGACGCGATTGTCGAGGTCAACGGCGAGTTCTTCCAGCACGTGCACCCGCAGGAGTACAACGTCTACGACTTTACGAACTGGGTCTCCGAGCATCCTGGCGGCCCGGACAAGATCCGCCAGTGGACTAGCAAGGGCTTCATCCTCAAGTACCCGCTTTCTCATCCCATGGGGCGATGGGCGTCGACGAAGGCTTTGACATACATCCGCCCAAACTTCGTCGGCCGCTTCGGGGACTCCATGAGCTTCCTCGGCTTGCCGCAGACTTTGCAGACCTTTCCCCTAGCCACGGCCTTCGGGGCCTTGGAGAGCTTCAACGGCTTTGCCGAAGTTTGCGGCTCTGCCGGAGAGGTAGCCAACGACTTGGATCTGGGCCACCAGTATTCTTTCCATGTGCCCGAGCATCCGGTGGACACGGGCTTTGACGTAGACTACGACACGCCGGCAGAGGTGCCGGATCTAGGCCGGGCCTCCACCTGGACAATGCTGGCACTCGAGGCCCCGGACCAGCTCCGCCAGCGCATGGCCTGGGCCCTCGCCCAGATCTTCGTCGCGGCACCGGACGATGCGACGGCGCGACACACCGAGATGTTTGTGAACTACTACGACATTTTCGTCCGTCATGCTTTTGGCAACTTCGGGGACATCCTGCGTGAGGTGACCTACAGCCCCGTCATGGGCGACTACCTCACCTACAAGAGGAACAGGGCCTTCGACAGCGATGGGGCTTACCCGGATGAGAACTATGCCCGTGAGATCATGCAGCTTTTCACCATTGGGCTGTGGCGCCTGAATGCGGATGGTTCGCGCATGCTGGACAGTGAGGGCAAGCCTATCCCTACATACAGCAACGAAGACATCATGAACCTCGCGCGCGTCTTCACCGGGTTCGACGAGCAGGGAGCACGTGCCAACATTGAGCACGTCGAGGGCAAGGTGAACGTGATTGACCCCATGCGCCTGCGCGCCGAGTGGCGAGATGTGTACCCGAAGCCAGATCTTTTGGGGGGTTATCTTGGTGACGGGTACCCGCTTTGCAGGGATCAGCCTGCCCAGGGCTTCTTGCGCCAAGGGGCCAAGTACCGCTTCGTGGGGCATGCCCATGAGGGCGAGGTCCTTGAGCTGTCCGCGGGCTCTGCACTGTACCGTGCACTCTGCGGAGGCACAGATGCCTGCAGCCATCAGCTTCTCATCGAACTGACAGAGACATTGTCATGCACAGGCGCCGAATGTCAGGCCCAGACGGCCGGTATTGTCAAAGTGGGAGATGGCTACTACGAGCACCTCTACGATGCCTGTGTGGGGCTCTTCTTCTCCGAGGGCGAGGAGGTGCTCCTCTACCCAGATGGCACCATCGCATCCAACCTGACCACCAAGTCAAGGCAGAATCGTTTCGTGGCACGCTGGATCCCCACCCTCCCAGACCTCTCTACTTGCCCTGCAGGCTGCAGGGCAGGCTATGAGGTGTGTGCTTGTGCTGGGGCCCTGTCTGTCCAAGATGGATTGCACGTGGTCTCAGCCGGCGGCTTCGCGTTTCAGAACCCACCGGTCTTCATGGACCGCGAGCACCCGCGGAAGCGTGACGCGGCCTTTGAGGTTGAGGCGCTACTGGAACACCTCGTGCACTACCCCAACACCCCGATGTTCTTTGCCTACCGCATCATCCAGCGCTTCGTGACCTCAAACCCTAGCCCTGAGTATGTGCTTGAAGTCAGCCAAGCCTTCCAAACAGGGGAGTACAACGGCCACACGTACTCTGGAAAGTATGGTGACCTTGCGGCCACCATCGCTGCGGTGCTTCTTTTCAGTGAGGCGCGCTCACAAACCAGCACCAGCAATGGTGTCCTGCGCGAGCCCTACCTGAAGGTCATCCATTTCATGCGATCCATGGAGTACCAGGATGAGAAGGCCCGGCCGATCATCCTCCGTAACCTCATTGATACCATCGGCCAGTACCCGTATGCCTCGCCAACAGTCTTCAACTTCTACATGCCCGAGTTCAGGCCCGACGGCTTCCCTGATGGCTTGGTGGCGCCAGAATTTCAGATCTACACGGCCCCAAACGCTCTTGCCTTTGCCAATGGCATGCACTCACTCATCAACGAGGGCCTCAGCAGCTGCGACTCCGGGTTTGGGGTGGAGGTGGCCGACTGCTCCGCCGGCACAATGACCTTCCAGGAAAAGTCGGACATGAGCGAAGCCCTGGCAGAGCTCGACCTGTTGCTCACGGGGGGCCGCTTGGAGTTCAGGGGAGTGGTGCAGGCTGCCTACCAACGTGACGGGTGGAAGGATGCACAGAAGGTGATGGTCCTCACCCCGGAGTTCAATGCGCTGGGGAATCCTATGCCAGAAGGTGTGCGCCCTCCTTCCCCGCCTCCAAGCACCGGCGCGGCTTCCAGCTACAAGGCTGTGATCATGTTCATGCTCAAGGGCGGCATGGACAGCTTCAATATGCTGGTGCCGCTAAACTGCCCTCTGTACGACGAGTACCACGATGTCCGCAAGAGCATCGCCTTCCTTCCGGAGGAGATGAATCAAATCAACTCCGCCACGCAGTCGTGCTCCCAGTTCGGCATCCATCCAAAGCTCCCTTTGTTCAAGGCCTGCTGGTTTTTTATGGGCTGGACGTGAGCGGAGTGGGTATATGGCGTCTTGAGGTAGTTGGGGCACGGGCAAAGCCCTTAGAGATTGGGCGGTTTCCCATCCAGAAGCATCCGTGTCAGCCCCCTGTTGCGCAAGGAGCTCTACGATGAGCAAAGCCTGGCATTCATCAGTGATATTGGGGCCTTAGTGGAGCCGCTGACGCCGGCCGCTGGGCTTTGGCGTGCCATACTCTTTTGAATCTCTCTCGGGATTTGTTGTTCTGTCACTACAAAAGTGCCAGGGTTTGTGTTTCGTTTGATTGCACATGGTCTTTCATGATGCAGAGCTTGCGGGCCATGCTGCGACAGTATGCAGTATGTTGTATGCAGCCTGGCGAAGCTAGTTCGTGATCCTTCGTATGATTGTCACGCAAAGGCTTGATAGCTTTGGCCCTGGAAAGGCAATCCCAAATCGCATAGCCTAAGCTGCAACCCTTGAGCTTTAAACCCCAGGCATTGAATCTCCAAACTCTAAACCCTAGAGTGTAAACCCTATAAGCCCAAAGCCCTAAACCATTTTGCCTCAAGGAGATGATCGGGAAGGGCTGGAATGCCAAGGGAGGCAGCGGGGAGACCTGCCAAGGCTCGCGGCAGAGTCGGGCATCGAAGGTCTTGTGTCAAGTCTTGCGGTTTGGGGTTTAGGGTTGAGGTTGCGGGTTTAGCTTAGGGGAGTGAAGCGACATGCAAGTATTCCGGAGCTGCATGAAGCTTGCCGGGGTGTTCGCTGTGTGTGGGAACTTGCCTTGGAGTAGCTGTTGAATAAAATCCCAGGTGCCTCCTTTCTTCGAGGCACGCCTGTCAAACTATTCCTCGAAGATTCTTAAATCGTACCGATGTATTTCCCGGCTCCGATGGCATGTGGCCTTGAAAAGTCCCACAGCAGGATGCTGAAGCCTGCGAAGGTGCGGCACGAGCCAAAGGGTGCATGTAGGAATATCCGACGGCCTAAACCCTCACACCCAGACGACGAATTTCCTGAGCCTTTTTTGTGACAGGGGGAAGGACCAAATACAACAACCTTCAGAGATTGTTTGAAGGCCTCTTCAGCCACAACGACCAGCAAAGAGCTGCTGAGACGCTGACATGCCAGTGACCTGGCACGTTAGTGGCTCTCTTGACAGCTTGGCATGTGAGCTTTTTGCGGCGTGTCGTGAAAGAGGATCCACAAAAGGGACAGGCTGTGGATCTCCGCTCATGTGTGCTTCTATAGAATTTTGGGCTGATAGAAATCCCTGTTGTGGTCTTGCAGGGCTTGCAGGGTGTGCAAGGCGCACGAAGATGGGCAAGGTCGCAAACGCCAGTCCTAGTCCTTCTGTGTTTGGTGAGCTTATTCTTCACACATGGCTTGCGGATGCATGATCCCAGCTGCTGCTGGGCATCTTGGGAATGGGCTCCATGAGCAGTTCCCACGCCAGGTACGGCAGCGCCGAGTTCAAGGGTGCCGGAGGGCGTATGGCGGACGCAGTTGCCGCAGGGACTCAGAAGTTTCTCGGGCTCGAAAAAGAAGCACCTCTTTTTTGTGCGTGAAGCAATGCTCAATGTGACGGGTAGGTATTGATAAGCAGCTTCAAGACCGCCAAAGGCAAGGGTGTCCTGTAAGGCTGTAAGGACAGGGCTGCCATGCAAAGCGCTGAGCCTGATCATGAGTTCAAGCCTACTCCTTGCTGAAGCCGGACCGAGGTACAACACCCAGTCCTTCTCTTTGAAGGGTTCTGCGACGTGGCCTCAGGGCTTCGACATCCCAGGGGAGGTTCTGGGCTCGAACTCAGGCGGTGGCGGCTTGGACTTTGGACATGTGCACGAGCTTTGCTTTTGATCCCAGGCTTTTGAGCCTGGGGCGTGGGGTTTAAGACTTGAATAATCGAATCTCTGAGTTTTTGGTTCTGGTTTGTTTCACAGCTGATGCCAATCCGAGGTAGCTCCGCCTTCCCAGAGTACACGCGTTTACAGGACTCGCTTGGCCGCAGACACGTCATTTCTAGTCATCGAAGAATTGTGCAGTACCGTTTCCTCAGTCTTCCTCCTCGAAAACCTCGCATAACACCCTAGCCAGCGCAACCTGTCAGCCTCTTGGCCGCTTGAAGTACTGAGTGCTGGCATTCCTTCCGCAGTCTTGTTTAACAGCTTTGAACTCAACCAAGTCCTCGGAACTCGCACGAAGGACCTTGTCAATAACATCACGGGCACTCGTCACGGCAACGTCTACTGCGAGGAGTACGCACGACGTTTGGAGCAGGCCCTTCCTTCTTTGATCCTCGACCCAAGTCTTAAGAATCTACAGTGCATCTCTGCGGTCGATTCGGTGGGCTTGATGGTAATTAAGACTAGTCCGGTCGTGATTTCTGTCCCAAAGCAAGAACATTTGCATGCCTGAAGGGCTGATTGACCGATTCGTGAACTGATGGGTTGTTTGGTTGGGTGGTTATGAAGCCATATGAAGCCCCAAGCCATAGCCGCCAAGACCATGACCTGTAGCGAGTCCAAGAACCCTTGCAGGCCATCAGCTTCAACCTTGGCCTGGAGAAGCAGCTGGAGAACGCGGAGCTGGCCACGGAGTACGAGGTGAGAGCCCAGTTGAGCGATCAGTGGACTTGCCAGAACGAGGGTGTCTACAAGCTTTCGCGGATGGTTTCATCATCCCATGGTCACCAACAGCTCTGAGAGCTTGTTCCAAAGCTGAAAGTTAGAGCCCCAAGCCCAGGTGAAGGGCTGGCAGCCGCTGCGCCAGCAGTTCAAGCAGGCCAAAGTGGGGGCAGGGCCCAGTTCTTTGGTGTCCTTCTGGGACTTGCAACAGGTTCACTGTTGTGAGTGTTTAGGATTTATGTGAAGGCTAGCAGCTAGCAACAAATGAGTTTCCGGTAATCAGGAGCTCCAGTACGGACTTTTCCAGAAAAGACCGCAAATTTGTGGGGAACTATCGCCTGCAGGTAATCTAGGGGCCTAAATGAACACCTACATTATTCTGGGGGTTCCTTATCATAGCTATAGTATGGCATACCCCTAAACCTTATTTCTGATTCTGAAGGCCCCTATATTATCTGGGTATCCAGCTCGAGGTCCCTGCTAGGAAACCCATAATATAGAAGCCTTACAATAATTAGCTATACCATGTTGGGGGATCCTTATCATCATTATAGTATACTGGGCCCCAAAACCCTATTCTATTTATTAAGGCCCCCTGCCTGACTTCTAACCGTGCGTATGCTTTGAGACAGGGGCTCCTCTTAAACATCGTAATTTCCATTTCAAAGCGCATGACTGGGGATCAGGTTCCGTGTGAAATTCTACCTAGAGTCGTCACATGTCGTAACACTTTCAGGCAGAAGTCCTGAGCCTGGACCGCAATTCTTAACGTTAGTTGAACTCGGAATTTGTAGTCCCGAAGCCCATGACCCTAGGTCCTTGAAGCCAAATACCGAGTCCGCAACCCGTCGCCAGCTGCAGGCCGCTACGCTGATCGCCGCGCGCGTGGACCGCCAGGCCGAGCGCGACTTCTTCTTCATCGAGGACAGACGTTGGAAGGCTCTGCATTCTTCCCTGGATGTAGGTTCGTTGGCTCAGCAAGAATCCCGCTGATCAAAGGATACCGAAGTGCCAAACCGCAGAACCTTCAGTGAATGATTTTTTGGGCCTTTAGATGTCAAGTCCCAATCCGCCAGGCCGGCTTCTAACCTACTTCCTTTCACCGATCCCTGCCTGTAAGAGCTATCCCAAACTTTCGTTCGGAAACCTTCAACCAGCCACCCTACTCCGTGCATCCCGGACCCTATATAGGCCCTCCGGCCCAAATAAATGAAACCTGGCACTGTACGAGCACACCACCCTCAGATCCCAAACCCTCTTTTAACCGACTTCAACCGGTTCTGCCCAGAGCTCCAAACCGAGCAGGACGGTGGCTGGGATCACCACAAGGGTGTGGAGGGCCGCCTTGCTGGGAGGTTCGAGGATGTGAACGAGGCTATGGCAAACACACGCTGTTCCGGTTTGCGCGAGTTATAAGATGGTTCAAGGCTGTGCGCCGTGGGAGTCTCTTGGGTTTGGAGTGAATCTGCAGTTAAAGCCCATTGCATCGTTCTCCGCGATAGTGGAGCGTTGTAGTCGCGATCAAGTTGCTAAGGGCTTTATACGCCTTTACTGGAAGCTTTCAATCCCACATCAATCACATCAACCATCATGAGGCGGGTTGCTGACCCTGACCCAAACTTGGGCTTCAGGGGCTGCTCAGCCAGTCAGCTTCCCGAAGCCAAAGTCTTCCAGGACCCGCCTTGTACCCTCAAATAGGGGTATATGATTCCAAATTAAGGGTATCTGGGATCGAGTAGAGGGTAGATGGAGCGAGAGTCTAGGTTGGTGATTTCCAGGCGCTGGCAGAGTTTGTCGCCGAGCTCAAGGGGCAGAATATCTATGACAGCGTTGTGATTGTGACACACTCTGATTTTGCGCGTACCCTCACGCCGAACAGTGGCTTGGGCATGCACGGTGTCGAATCCTAGCATAACGGGTTGAGCGGTTGGGGAGTTTGCCTAGGGCTGCAATTGGCGCTATCCATGATGCACGTTCCTTCTTCACAAGCTTCGTTTGACTCCCTCCTCATACTCCGCCTGCAGTTTGTGGAACGTTGCTGGAAAACGCATGGTCCCATCAAAGGTTTCGAGTGATGGGGGGTTGAGCTGGAAGATCAGTAGCATTGTTCCTTTGCCTTTAGCAATCTAGCATCGTTTTGGAACTCGTCCTACATTCTTTCAATCCGACTTGCGCAAGCTCCAAATCTAAGGCAATGCGGGCACCGACCATGGTTGGGCAGGCACCCACCTGGTGATCTCTGGTGCCATCAAGGGCGGCGAGAGCCTTTGACATATGTAGCCTAGTCCACTCAAAAGAAACCAGCAGCCACAGATCCGAAAAAGTCGGAAAATGTCCACCCGAATCAATCGAATACCTCAGAAAGTTTGTAACTCTAGACTCCGAGCCCCGCCTCTTGTCTTTCAGCCGCATGTCTGAGGATCTACAACGAGTTCCCGCACCTGGCCGAAGGCTCGCCGATGGACGCGGGCCGCGGTCGCTTGATCCCCACGTCTCTCGGAGATCGTCTCAGATTTTCAGTTGAGTTCAGGTTCGACAGTTGTTGGGGTCCTCTGCTTGGGGGTTTTGTCCTTGAATTCTGGGGCTAGCGCGGATCCCAAGCTAAAGAACCTCATAGTGTTTGCCGTGGACGGCGCCCATCGAAAAGCCTGGTTCTCATCGCCAGCCCCGGCGCAGCTTGTCAAAGCTTTTGTGGAAGACGTGGAAAGTTCATAAAGGTACCCCTTGGAGAACATGATGGTCCCGGTCGCGGAGTGGATGGGCATGGAATCAGGGCAGCGCTTGCAGGCCCTCTCCGGATTTGGCCATCTGGGGTGTTGGTCCACTGATTTTGCTGCGTAGGAGTGCCCTATCAGGAACTGAGGTGCAGAACAGGGTTCGGTCCCACGGTTCGCCACAACGAGAAAGTAACACATGCCAGCTATTCTGTCATCTCCCCTCAACATCTCATGTGCCCTGATACGGATCAGGAGGGAACCACAATGAAGACTCTTGACGACAACGGCAAAGACCATCAAGAAAACCACGACGCACATTATTCTTATACTGCGAAATTTATCATTATTGTTACCACTCCTGCTGCTGCTAGTGCTAGT